TAGGGACATTTTAATAACCTGAGTAAGTGCCATTGGTAGGCAGGCTTTGTTTTCTGCTCATTAATGACTCTCCAGGCTAGACTTCATTCCTCTTACCATTAATTCAAATACAGAGATACATAAAATGAATGCTGCCAACTGATTGCCATGCTATTGTCTTAATATCATTGCTCTCCTGCCTGCTTGGGCGTGAGGTGGAGAGGAGAAGGGAAGGTGTGTGACAGGTAACCCGTGATAGCTACATGTGTTTTAAAAGCCACATTCTGGGGGCACCTGGGTGGCTCAGTCAGTTCAGTGGCCGACTCTTGATTTCAGCTTAGGTCATGATCTCACGGTTGTGAGATCAAACCCTGCATTGGGCTCTGCATGGACAGTGTGGAGCCTGCTTGGGATTCTCTCTCTCTGCCCCTCATGCACACGCATGCTTGTTCACTCTTAAAGTAAATAAACTTAAAAAGTATTTAAAGCCATATTCCGGTACAGAAATCAGAATTTTAACACGTACAGGCATACCTCACTTTATAACAGTTCCTTTGTTGGGCTGGGCAGAGCTTGCGTTTTTAAAAAACTTGCAGGGTTGCCACAAACCTTCATCAAGCAAGTCTCTTTGGTGCCATTTTTCCAACAGCATTTGCTTCCTTTGAGTCTTTGCATCACATTTTGGTAATTCTTGAAATATTTCAAACCTATTCATTACTCTTAGATTTGTTATGGTGATCTGTGACCAATGAGCTTTGATGTTATCATTGTAATTGTTTGGGGGCATCACAAACCATATAAGATGGCAACCTTAATTGATAAATGCTGTATGTGTTCTGGTTGCTCCACTAATTGGCTGTCCGCCCATCTTGTTCCATCTCCTCAGGCCTCCTTATTCCAAGACAAGCAATATTGAAATAAGGCCAGTTAATAACTCTACAGTGGCCTGTTAAGTGTTCAAATGAAAGGAAGAATCCTATGTCTCTCACTTTCAATCAAAAGCTAGAAATGATTAAACTTAGTGAGGAAGGTGTGTTGAAAGCTAGGCCTCTTGCACCAAACAGGTAGCCAAGTTGTGAATGCAGAGGATACATTCCTGAAGGAAATGATAAGTGTTCCTCCAGTGAACACACAAATGATAAGAAGTCCAAACAGCCTTATTACTGATATGGAGAAAGTTTGATAGAAAATCAAACCAGCCACAATATAGGCACCCTAAGCCAAAGCCTAATGCAGAGTGAGGACCTAACTCCCTTCAATTCTATGAAGACTGAGAGGCGAGGAAGCTGCTGGAGAAAAGTTGGAAACTAGCAGAGGTTGTTTCATGAGATTTGAGGAAAGAACCTATAAAACATTGTTCTGTAAAACAAGGTGAAGCTGCGTTATCCAGATATCCAAGTTATCCAGAAGATGTAGCTAAGATAATTCATGAAGATGACTGCACTAAACACATTTTCAATGTAGATGGAATAGCCTTATTTGGAAGAAGATGCCATCCTGGACTTGCATAGCTAGAGAGGAGAAGTCAATACCTGGCTTCAAAGCTTCAAAGGATAGGCTGTGACTCTCTTCTTAGGGGCTAATGTAGCTGGTGACTAAGTAGAAGCCATTGCTCATTTGCCTTTCTGAAAATCCTAAGGCCCTTAAGGATTATGCTAAATCTACTCTGCCTGTGCTCTCTAAATAGAACAGCAAAGCCTAGATGACAGCACATCTGTTCACAACGTAGCTTAGTGAGTATTTTAAACCCACTGTTGAGACCTATAGCTTAGAAAAAATATGACTGCTCATTGACAGTGTACCTGTTTACCCAAGAACTCTGATGGAGATATACAGTGAGATTAGTGTTGTTTTCATGTCTCCTAACACGACATCCACTCTGCAGCCCATGGATCAAGGAGTCATTGTGACTTTTAAGTCTTATCATTTAAGAAGTAAGTTTCATAAAGCTATAGCCACCGTAGAAAGTGATCCCTGTGATGGATCTGGGAACAGTAAATAGAAAACCTCCTGGAAAGGATTCACCATTCTAGATGACATTAAGAACATTCATGATTGATGGGAAGAGGTCAAAATGTCGACATTCACAGGAGTCTGAAAAGAAGCTGATTTCAACCATCATGGGTGACTTTGAAGGGATTCAAGATTTCAGGGGAGGAAGTAATTTCTAATGTGGTGGAAATCACAAGAGAAGTAGAAGAGAAAGTGGAGCCTGAAGGTGTGACTGAATTGCTGCCATCTCATGATCAAACTTGAATAGATGGGGAGTTCTTTCTTATGAATGAGCAGAGAAAGTGGTTTCTTGTGATGGAATCTACTCCTGGCAAAGACACTGTGAAGATCATTGAAATGACAACCAAGGATTTAGAATATTACATTAACTTAGTTGATGGAGCAGCAGCAGGATTTGAGAGGATTGACTCTAGTTTTGGAAGAAGTTCTGCTGTGGATAAAATGCCATCAAACAGCATCATATGCCTCAGAGAAATCATTCCTGAAAGGAAGTGTCAATCTAGGTGGCATATTTAATTGTTGTCTTATTTTAAGAAATTACCACAGCCACTCTAGCCTTCAGCAGCCACCACCCTGATCTGTCAGCAGCCCTCAACATGGAGGAAGGGGCCTCCACCAGCAAAAAAATTATAACTTGTTAAAAGCTCACATGATGGTTAGCATTTTGTAGCAAGCAAGTATTTTTAATTAAGGTATTACATTCTTTTTTAAAGACATAATGCTATTGTTGAAGTGCCTGGGTGGCTCAGTTGGTTGAGTGTCTGACTCTTGATTTTGGCTCAGGTCAGGATCCCAGACTCATGGGATTGAGCCCCACATTGGCTCTGTGCTGATGGTGGAGACTGCTTAAGATTCTCTCTCTCCCTTCCCCTGTCTTCCCTCCCTTCTCTCCCCTAGCCTCTCTCGCCTGCTGACGTTCTCTCTCTCTCTCCAAAAAAAACCGTAATGCTATTGCACACTTAATAGACTACAGTATAGTATAAACATAACTTTTATATGCACTGGGAAGTGAAAAAATTAATTTGACTTGCTTTATTGCAATATTCAGTTTATTGCAATAGTCTGCGACTGAATCCACAGTATCTCTGGGATATGCCTGAACATATTATTGATATTTGTGCCTAGTTAGGGTTTTGGGAATGCCCTACTTAGCGTTACATGTCCTCTTTCTCCCTTCTTGTGATACACAGACTGCCTTGGGTGTACACTCAGGCATATGTTTAATGCTTTGAATTCTTTTGCTCCCGTGGCTTGTTTTTGGTCCTAAGGGCATTCTTGTTTGCAATCTGTGGAGTGTTTATAGCATCGGAATAGCATCATGTCCTTAAATGGAATTTGGATTAGTTACTTTCAAATGTGTCTCCCTAACAGTCCAATGACTGTGGAAGTAATACCATGGAAAGGCACATGATCTGATTTGAATAGAAAGATATGTGGATATGGTTGTAGAGCTTTATGTTTATTAAAAAAACAAATCTCTCTTCTTTATCCTTGGGGCTAGGTATCCTGCTTTATTGCTATGATAACACACAAGAAAGAAACATGACACAAGTTGAAATAATTGAAAATGCCCACATCCAACTCAATGTATTTTATTTGAATCCATGTAATTAATGTGGACTTGTTTGACGTACAGGTGCTCATAAAAAACTGGACAGGAGCTCTGGATTGCATTTTTTCCCCATAAAGGTAGAACTTCTTTTTTTATTGTTTAATTATTTTTGAGAGAGAGCATGTGAACATGTAGGGGAGGAACAGAGAGAGAGAGATAGAGAGGGAGACACCGAATCCCAAGCAGGCTCCAGGCTCTGAGCTGTGAGCACAGAGCCCAATGTGGGGCTCGAACCTACAAACCATCAAATCACAACCTGAGCTGAAGTCAGACACTCAACCGACTGAGCCACCCAGGTGCCCTCAGAAAGGTAGAACTTGTAGTTTAGAAGTAAAGATTCCTCTTCAGGTAATACGTAATTATTTGTTAATTTGATGAGCACTCTACATTGTGTCTTGAAGCTATTCAGAGTACTTTGGGAACATCTGTTGTGCCATCATTTGGAGGCTGCTAAGATGTTTCAGAAATAAACTCCAAATGCCTTGACAACGGCAGTTTGATGCTTGATGTAGGCAGTAACACGGTGCTGCATGGGGATTCTTCATCTTGGCTTCATGTAGGAAAATTAATAGTCTCAAATGCATCCAAGGTGTGTTTTGGGTAAGAGGGTAGTTTTTTTTGAGTCTTGGCTTTCTTCCTCTATTTAATAGTGACAGCTGTCATTTTTCACCTTCAGAAAAAAGCATCACTGATTTTATAAATAGCAAATCATTTTTTGGGTGGGCTCAGGTCTATGCTGGCAACCATTTTATACACATGACCTCATTTAAATGGCCAGGACTTTGCATGTATAAATGGACAAGTTTTCAGGCAATTTGGGTAGGCTCTCCATTGGGTAGGCTCTCCAATCTCGCCTCTCCATTTCCTGTCTAAACAACTTCTTTCATGTCCACAGCATGTTTATGCAACATTGAATAAAACTTCTAATGGGAAATTTCTTCCAGGTGACCTCCCTGAGAGGCTGGGCTATGGAGAAATCTTAAGAAACCCGACTCTGATGAAATTGCCTCCTTTGAGAATATTACTCGGTGCAGAAACAAGGAACAGAATTCAGTTATTTTTAGTTCTTGAATAAATGAAATCGGTTTCCTTTTGTGTAGGTAGCAGAAAACATTAACCCCTGCAGCAGGTCCAGTTTCAGTTAGAAATTGAACTTTTGGATTCTGTGAATTAGGAGAACCTTGGAAAAGAGAATGTTAAATTTTATTTTTTATTTGAACCTCAAGCAACTTGGACTCGGTTCTGCCATCTGTGTATCTTTTATAGATGTGTCTTTTGCAGGGCTGTCTGCCTTTACATTTAATTTTCTGGAGGCTGGGACTGTGGTTATCAGATGACCTCTAACTTGGCACCATGTGTGGGTGGATACTAACGAATCCTTTCTCCACCTTCCTAGCACTTTTGGAGAAATCTATCAGTAGAAGGCGGGACACCGAAGCCATACAGAAAGCCAAAATCCTTTATTCATCTTGCATGAATGAGAGTAAGTAATAAAGACAATAAAATATTTACCACCCTCTTCTTCACAGACTCTCTTAATGTTTAAAGATATTATTTAAGGAAAAAGAGAACTACTAAGAATTCGATTAATGTTTAAAAGTGTTGTTTGAGGAAAGGAACAATTTTCAGAGACTGGATTTTGACTCTCCCGTTCTTAATGTTCTGTTGGTAGCTTGATGGAGAAAATAGGAAAATAATTTTATTTCTATGGCTTGGATTCTTTAGGTATCAAGTACTCCATGAGAAACTTGGGTAGGGTCAGAAGGGCAGACCCCATTGTATGTGGTGCAGAAATAAGAATCCAGAGGCCAGGTCTGGTCTGAGAAGGAGCTGGGAGAGAGGGTATTTGGGAGTGTTGCTATATCCCATAGAATCTTACAGGGGCCCAAGAAAATCCAGATTCCCAGGTGGGCTGGGCCCCTTCTGCTTTTCCATCAGTCTAACAGGCATCTTAGGTGGGTGTGTTAGGCCTGTGTTGGCATCTTGGGTCTGATTGGAGTTAAGGTGACACTTGTCATTTTATCTGGTGTGCTTTCTCAAGACCACTGCAGGGAGAAACCAGTGCCAGTGGGAAGTGTGTTTTAACTTGTTTATGATTTGAGATATTATTTGGTGAGGTAGAAGAGGGCAGTAAAAGATGACAAAGGAGCCTTGAGGCATTAATTCATGCATAGTGGGGAGGGGTTGGTTTTACCAAGCAGTTTCCTTTACCTAGGGTGGTTCTGTAGTTTTCCAAAATATTCTCAGCCTAATATCGCTCATTGGGCTGTAGTGAGCCCATCTTTTATTGTCAGGAATTTCAGCAGGTTCCCTAGTCTGCTCTCCTGGCAAGAACCCCAAGTTTAGGCAGTCACACTGAAGTGTGAATCAGAGGTAGTTCTGTCTCTGTGGCCGTGCTCAGTCTACCACACCTCCCTCGAACAGCTGAAATGCTAAGTTGGGACCTTACGGGAATTTTCTCTTGAGAAGATACACTTGCCTTTTAGTTTGGTGATCCTGTTTGTAATTCTAACTCTTCTTTCATATCTGTTCCCTTTCAGAAGCGATCGAAAGAGCAGATGCCAAACCATTGCTCCACATCCTGCGGCATTCACCTTTCCGCTGGCCTGTGCTCGAGTCTAATATTGGTCCTGAGGGAGTGTGGTCAGAGAGAAAGTTCAGTCTTTTGCATACCCTTGCAACATTTCGTGGTCAGTACAGCAATTCTGTGTTCATCCGACTGTATGTGTCCCCTGATGACAAGGCATCCAACGAACATATCTTGAAGGTATAGTGAGCACTTGTTCATCCCGTTTGTTCAGTTCATGGTTAGCCTTTTGGGGTGTGTTTCCAGGGAATGAGAATCCTAGCACCTTACTGAAATGATCAGATAACAATTCTGTTAATCATTAGGATCTATAATATTCTCCTTCATCCCAGATTTGTGGAGTATAAATGAGGAACAAATCAGTTTTGTCTGCCTTTCAGGAAGCTTGTGGATGAGTTTCAAGTCATCTCTGATCTCGCCCTCAAATCTCTACTCTGAGCATGTGTGGGGCCCCTAAATTCCAGTGGGGAGCAGGCTGCAAAGACTTTGTGAACTCTGCTCCTCCCCTCACCTCATCCTTCCCTTGACAAAGGAGAACACATACCATGAGCCTTTGTTCACCTTTCCCTAACATATTCTTGCAGGCACATCTAAAATTTCATTGTCAAGTTCATCCTGATTCTCCCTTCCTTCATTTAAAAAGGAAGAAAAACTTGTTCTAAGTATTTGTTTGCATTTTCTGTTAGGAGAGTAAGCATTTTTCCCATGAAGGAATGGGGCATGCAGACATACCTTGAGGTACATTATTATATTGGTAAAATTGGGACTGTCTGAAAACTACCAACAAAGACTCATCAGTAAAACAGCTTGGCAAGGATTCAAATAACATTTCTTAAATTGTTTTGTGTTTTGATCCTGTTAAATGTTTTACTTCCACAGCTACTTGGACTAATTATGAAAATTTTACTGTATCACTGATTATTTTCCTCCCAGTTCTGTCCTTTGTCAAACCAGAAAATATTGGTGATATAATGATGATCAAATTGTAGAAGTATAAAACCTTTAGAGTATATTACCCTCTTTTGTTGCAAGTCAGCTTTTAAAAATCTACGCCCTACAGTTTTGTTTTTATTATACCAAGGGGCTGGCATTTTTTTTTTCCTGTGAAGGACCAGATAGTAAACATTTTAGGCTCTGTGGGCCATATGGTCTCTGTCTCACCTACTCAGTTCTGCTGTTGCATCTGGGAAAGCAGCCATAGACACTACATACATGAATGGGTGTGGTTGTGTGACAGGCTGGCCAGCACGCTGTGGTCTGCCCAGCTATAGTTTAGACAATGGAAGTCTCAGTAAATCTCTAGTCACTGGCAGAATTCCCATCTACTCAGGAGGAAATTCTTAGTTCCAGAGATGTCTGTACTTCCGTGCTGGGTGAAGGAACAGGAACATGGCACCGACACACATGCTAATGCTGTCTGGATAAGATGTGCTATGCAAGACTCAAGGCAAAACAATGTTACATAATGGTCCAGTTGACCTGTGTTATGCTAATAGATTCCTTGCTTAAAAAACAAACAAACCAGGTTTTAAGGCTGTCATTCTTCATTGCAGAACTGTTATGATATCCTTTCAAATACCTTAAGTATTTTGAAGTTACATGGAGACTTTCAAACTTAAATTTCTGCACTCTGTTGGGTGATAGAAGATCTTGACTCACACACATAAAAGTAATTACAAATGGTAACCATTTCATTTTTCACCAGTTTCTGGACCTAGTCTAAGAATTTATTTCCTTAAGCATTTTACTATGGAAAATAATACAAAAATAAAAAGAATAGTATAACAAACCCCCATGTACTCATCAACCCAGCTTCAACAACTGGCAGCTTTTGGCTCTTCTTGTTTTATCCTAACCTTTTCTTTTGTGGGGGAGGCTGGAGCATTTTATAGCAAATCCAAAATTAATATCATTGCACTGGTAAATCAGTATTTATAGAATGGAAGGACTATTATCACAAAGTAATCATGATTCCATAATTAACATCTAACAACTAGCTAATTTTCAGTTTTCCTGAAATGTCTCAAACATGTCCTTTAAAAAAATCAAACAGTTGGTCTTTGAGTCAGGTTCCAAATAGGAATCTCATGTGCATTTGGTTGATGTGTCAATTTTCATCAGCATTGTAGATCTGACCGATTTCAGGGTAAACTAATAGTTGATGAGGGAAAATTATTGTTTATAGGAGAATCACAGCTTTAAAATGCAGGAGAAAGAATAAAATTAGAAAGTTACTGTTTTAAAACATTTCTAATGAGAATAAAGGATCAAGGCAGCTATCATCAATAGCAGCTTAGAACCATTAGGTCAGTGGTTGATGGGGGAATTCATGGTAGATCACACTGACATCAAATGAACCCAAACATCAACAGTAGCCTTGCTAAAAGTGGGGCAACCAGATTTTGTATGCCTTCCGATACTGGGCACTGGGAAGCATACACCATCACCCATGATGTCTTGCCAAAGGAAAAGAAAAAAAATGAACTTGGATCTAATCAGGCCTCTAGTTTTAATACCAGCTTACAAGAAACATGGAGAATAAAGGAACATGGTAACCAATTTTTAACAGCTTGCCTTGCATACTTAATATTCAATTAAATGGATCTTGGAAACACTGGACTGTCAATGAATAGACTAGTCTCCAGATATGAGTAGGCACTCATGGACTTCACTACTGCTCTCTTTTGCCAAGATGGTAACTTGTTCCAAACTGATGTGTTTGACCATGGCTTGGTATTTGAACGCAGCGTTCGTTTGCTTTAGTTGTGTCCCTGTTTGTACCATTTTATGTGAATAGTCACACACTTGAATTAACAAAATAGAGCTGCAGTCTCTGTAATTGTGACACCGTTAAAAGAAGTTCAAGCTTGTGTCTAGATATGGTAGAAGAAGCTCTCTTCTGAGATCTGCCTAAAACCCAATGAACCTGACAACAAAAATTAGTGTATTGGTAGCTGCCAGTGTTGTAGAATTTCCAAGTGTTGATTTTATTAGAAATAGTTAAAACTATAAAACATTTGATTAAATATTTGGAGCCTCTGGAGCACTTTTTAAAAAAATTTTATTTATTTGAGAGAAACAGAGACCGTGTGAGTGGGGGAGGGTCAGAGAGCAAGGGAGAGAGGATCCGAAGCAGCCTCCATGCTGCCAGTGCAGAGCCCAGTGTGGGGCTCGAACTCATGAAACTGTGAGATCATGACCTGAGCAGAAACCTAGTGTCAGATGCTTAACTGACTGAGCCACTCAGGCGTCCCTTAAAGTTTGTTTATTTTTCAGAGAGAGAGAAAGTGCAAGCAGGGGAGGAGCAGAGAGAGAGAGAGAGAGAGAGAGAGAGAGAGAGAGAGAATCCCAAGCAGGCTCCACACTGTCAGTGCAGAGCCCGACGTGGGGCTCAAAGCCATGAACTCAGATCATGACCTGAGCCAAAGTCAGATGCTTAACCAATTGAGCCACCCAGGTACACTGCCCACCCCCTCCACTGGAGCATCTTTTACGTTTTGTGGAACATAGTTTGAAAACCACTAGGGTAGTGGAAAAAAGTGTAGGCTTTGTGTTTAAAGAGATTGAAGTTCATGGTTTGGCTTTGTGATTTACTCAGTGAATATCTGTGTGCACACTGCTTCACTTGAGTCTCATTTTCCCCATGAGTATTGACAGGTGAAATAGAACGTACTTTTCACTGTCACTGTGATGTTTAAATGAGGTGAATTATGTGAGAGTTTACAAGATAGATACTGACACACAGTAGCACATGACAAGAGGTATCCTTCTCTTACAGCGTGACGAGACAGCTGGTCAGAACCATTTGGAGAACCACTTGGCTCTCTTCACTTTTGGTACCCAGCCTACCTCTCAGATCTCGAGTTCACGTATGAAAGAAATAGACAATTTCCATTGGTCTCATCTCTGACTGAGCTCCCATGCCACCTTGTAGTGGGAAACAGAACCAGTCTGGGCATTTCTCCAACCTTCTGGTTGCCCCATTTCTTAGCCTTTTCCTGGGCCAGTAGGAGATCCTCCACTCATCAGGTACCTGGTTCTGAGAACAAACCCATTATCTCAGCCCACATGGGCCCTTCCAGTGTGCTGCTGTGCTGCCAGAGCCCTGGGCCTCCCATTCTGCGATCCTACAATTTTTTAGGGGCAGTGACTGCCCGCTCTGCTCATGACCAGCTTGGACTTCTCTGGCTGCCTAGGAGATCTCTTTACTCTGGGAGAAGTCTCTTACCTCAAAGTCTCCTCTCTCGATGTACTTAGAGTTCTTTTACCATCACATACTATATTTGTCAATGTTTTTAGCTTTTCTAATACCATAAACCCATGGGGCTAAGAAAAAGGGCTCGTTTTGGGAAGGCACAGCATTGTGGCAATATCTTTGGGTGAAGAAAGAAAGCACGTTTCCAGTGGGCAGAAATATCCCCATGCCAAGGACGGACAGTTGGGTGTGCTCCAATCCAGAGTGGTCCTCTGTAAAGCTCCCCCATGGCGAGATGGCACAGGATTTATCACAGCCTGAAATGGGAGAAAGGAAATACAAAAATATAGGAAACAACAGAAGTCAAAGCTCCAAAACATACCTTGCTACATGTGTTTGGGTTTATTTTACGTAAGGAGAGAATAAGAATGAGGATTTAAAGGCCAATAAAAGGCTTGAATATGTATGCTCCTGAAAGAATGTTTGGAAGACCACGGTTGTCTCAGTATTTGTTACTGAAACAGTGACTTAAAGTCCTCATTAGTCAGTGGCCTGCTTTTGTCTGACTTTTAGCAAAATCTGTAAGGATGACAAGGAGAGACCCTCTTGGAAATGAAGTTTTTCTATTTGCTGTGTATTTTCTTTATCCTAAATCATAATCTGTCAGATGTTTCTTTTTGTGTTACTGCTTTCTTTCCTAAACTGAGGTTTGTTGCAATTGGACAAACAAAGTTCATCTTTCAGTTCAATATATCGGATTTCCAAAACACGTATTTTATTTTCTACTTGGGCTATTCAGATCATTTGTAAATGCAAGGATTAACAAACCTCCAATAACACAGTGTCCTGATGTTGGTCTCTTGAGAAAGTCTTTTGCCTCAAGAGTTCATATGCTTCTAAAGTGATTTAGTTGACAGACCTTAAACTGTTTGGTGTATTGAAAACGTTCCCTAGAAACTATAACAGTGTGAACGTTTAAAAAATGTCCAGTAACTTTAATTGAATCATCTAAACTTTTATAATAAGCAGATTTAACTTCATTTCATCAGAGGGAAGCTTTGGCTTTCTTGATATCATTTCCTGAGTTTCCTTTCCTATGTGACTGAAGCTCAAAAGACTGCTCCACCTTGTCCAGATCTAATTGAAAGCCAAAGCATCTTAATCATAATATTGTGTTTCACGATCCTGGCTCACTTAATTTTTGGAAGAAATGGTGGTAGATTGGGAATTTCAGTAGGATGAAGCCAGTCTGGCTTATGACTTGGTTGTTTGGGGCCAATTAGACAAGAAGATTGAACACAGCAATTTGAGGATTTTAGTAATACATGCAGACAAGATGGATGTTATGAAAACCTCTTTTCCCCCCCCTTGAAACAAGAGCAATGTTTTTCCTTGAATTTTTCATAACATCACTAACTCTTAACTTGGCCTTTGTAGAATTTGTTGCATATGAAGGAGATTTTTATGGAAAACTATGATCCTCTGCAGATTTTATGTATTAAAAAAAGAAAATATTTGAGATTGTAGAAAAATGAAGAACAACTAGAATCGATAGATAAAAACAGTGTACAGTAATATAAACTAATGATATGTGCCTGTAGGATCAGTTTTTATTCAGATACTACTAATTTTTGGTTTGTTATTTAGATTTTCTATCTTCTTAATTTGGCTTAATTTTTTTCTGTGTGAATTATATAAATTAGAAAGTCTGCTGTTGGGATCTATTTTATTCAGTCTTTAGGTAGTTGCTAAAACTCAAGAAAGAATAGCCATAGATTGAGAGGAGGTTCTGGAACTTAAAAAATATTTATTTTTAAATATATATACAGTGAAATTAACTATCTGTGATGCACATGTCTATAAATTTTGGCAAACGCATATTCATGTAATCACCACCATGGTCAGAAAACAGAACAGTTCCGTCACCCCCAACAAAATTACCTCATGGTGCCCATCTGTAGTCAACCGTTTTCCCCATCCTTACACCCTCTTCTCTGTTCCTGTAGTTTTGCCTTTTTCAGAATGTGATTACAAGTTGCCTGTGTTGTTGCATGTGTCAGTAGTTCATTCCCTTGTATGGCTGAGTAGTGTTTTCTTGTGTATCACCCTTTATCCATTCACCAGTTGAAGAACATTTGGGTTGTTTACAGTTTGGGGCAATTATGAACAGAGTTGCATGCAGGTTTTTGTGTGAGCAGAAGTTTTTATTTCTCTTGGGAACATACCTAGGAGTGAGGTTGCAGGGTCATAAATAAGTGTCTGCTTAACTTTATAAGAAACTATCGAACTGGTTTCTAAAGTGGCTCTGCATTTTGCATTCCCACCAGCATTGTGTGAGTGATCCAGTTTTCCCCCATCCTGGACAGTTTTTACGTTAGCAGGTTGTTTGTGGGCTCTTTTGTTTTTGCCATTCTAATGATGTATAGTGATGTTTTACTGTTTATTACTTACATTTTCCTAATTAGTAGTGATGTTGAGCATCTTCTCATGCAGTTACTTTCCATCTTCATACGTTCTTTGGTGAATTGTCTGTTCAGATCTTTTGCTTGCTTTTAAATTGTTTTTTTTTTCTTACTGTTACATTTTGAGGGCTCTTTACATACAAGTCCTCTTTCACATATGTGATTTTCAAATATTTTGTCTCTGACTGTAGCTCGTCTTTTTATTCTCCTGACGGTGTCTTTTTTTTTTTTTTCAACGTTTATTTATTTTTGGGACAGAGAGAGACAGAGCATGAACGGGGGAGGGGCAGAGAGAGAGGGAGACACAGAATCGGAAACAGGCTCCAGGCTCTGAGCCATCAGCCCAGAGCCCGACGCGGGGCTTGAACTCACGGACTGCGAGATCGTGACCTGGCTGAAGTCGGACGCTTAACCGACTGCGCCACCCAGGCGCCCCACTGACGGTGTCTTTAACAGAGCAAAATTTTTTAATGTTGATGCAGTCCAACTTACTTTTCCTTCTGTGGATCGTGATTTTAGTTGTCATGTCTAATAACTCTTTGTTTAACCCTAAGTCACAAAGATTTGCCCCTATGTTATCTTCTAGAAGTTTTATAGTTTTGGGTTTTGCATTTAAGTCTATGATCCATTTTGAGTTAGTTTTTAAGATGTGAGGTATGGATCAAGGTTCATTTTTTTTGCTTTACAAACGGATGTCCACTTGTTGTAGCACATTCTTTGAAAATGCTGCCTGTCCCTTTTGATTGCCTTTAAGGTGCTGAAGGTGTTTAATTCAAGAAATTATGCTCTACTTTTCCATAATAACTCTGGTTGTTAAGTTGTCTGATTATTATTTGTATTTTTATCATCTATCCTAAACTTTCCAGAGAGAGTTCTAAATTTTGCAACGATATCTCAAAACAAAATTATCATTTGATTCCTTTAAAATAAAAAAAATCTGGGGGGTGCCTAGGTGGCTCAGTCGGTTGAGCATCTGACTTCAGCTCAGGTCATGATCTTGCGGTTAGTAAGTTCGAGCCCCGCATCGGGCTCTGTGCTGACAGCCGGGAGCCTGGAGCCTGCTTCCAATTCTTTGTCTCCCTTTCTGTCTCTGCCCCTCCCCCGCTCATGCTCTGTCTCTCTCTCTTTCTCAAAAACAAACATTAAAAAAAATCTGGGTGCCTGGGTGGCTCAGTCAGTTAAGTGTCCGTCCACCTCTTGATCTGGGCTCAGGTTGTGATCTCATTCTTGGTGAGATTCAGCCCCACATTGAGCTCTGCACTGGCAGCGGGGAGCCTGATTGGGATTTTCTCTCTCCCTCTCTCTCTGTCCCTCCCTGGCTTGAGTGCACTCTCTTTCTGAAATAAACATAAAAAAAATCAGTGCAGTATAGTATTTCAGGGGTATGGAGGTAGAAAATGTGGTCAATCGGCTCTTTCCAGATTGGCATTTTGTAAAATACCACAAAAGTACTAGATCTGGTGACAGAAGACACTGATGCTTCTCTGAGCCCTGCCCAGCCATGTTACCTTGGGAAAGTCACCTTGTTTCTCTGGCTTATGTTTATCCACAAGAAGGGGGAAAACCAAATCATTTCCAAGACCTATTTCAACTCAGAAAGCCTTGATGCTATTCAGTATTGATAGAACCTCAAAAGGATTAGAAACCATGGAGCAAGGGCAGGTCTCTGACATTTTATAATTTCTGTCATTGCTGAAGTACCTGTTTGCATGTGGCTCTGAGTGCATGCAACTATTTGTGTAATGGTGACAGAGACTCACACTATGACTGGAATGCAGATCTCATGACTCTTATTTGTAAGAATTTACATTACAAACAGAATGCTTTCTCTTTTGTCTCAACAGCTGGACCAAGCAACTCTCTCCCTAGCTGTGAGGGAAGATTACCTCGATAATAGCACAGAAGCCAAGTCTGTAAGTTTTACCCATGTTGAACTCTGCACCTTGTTAGACTGTTGTTGGGTTCATAAATTGTTGTAAAATCCCTGACTCTTTACTGGCCATGAGCAATGTGACTATTGGATGACCATATTCCCAGTGCAGGAAACAGAGGTGTTTTATTCAGGCAAACAAATGGCATTCCCTGTCTTTTGGAAGTCTGGGCATCAAGGCTCAGTGTCATGTTGATCAAGCTGGGGATACAGCACACCCGAATGAAGTAACCAAGAAATGAGCTTGCAGTCAAAACTGTAGAGAGCTCACTCTACATTGCAGAAGTAAAGTGGTGGTGGTGGTGGTGGGGGTGTTAACTGTGTTGACATAGTTAACCAGTGGTTCTCAAATTGTATGGCTTAAGAATCATCTGGGAACTTCCTGTTGAATGTTGATTCCTGGGCTGCAGCCCAGGAGAGTCTGATTTAGGAGACTTGAAGTGGGGCCCAGGAATCTGTTTTCCTAACAGGTGCCACAGGTTAATGTAAGGTTAATGAGAACTAGATGGGATCAGTTCCGATAGACTTCTTGGGTGGGCTTGGAAACCTGGTAGGTTCTTGGAGATTGGAGTAGCGCTGCGTCACTCCTGACACTTTCAATTCACTTTGGAAACTTGGTTGAACTTCCAAAGGACCCTCAGATCCAGGGGACCCTTGACTAGGGAGTTCACTGGTTTCTGGGCCAGCCTAAGAATGTAGGAACTTAGAAGTGTTGGCTCACAATGGAAGTCCTTGCATCTTTGCTGATACTAAATCCTGTAAACGGAAGGTTCTGAATGAAGGGCAGGAAGCTAGGTAAGATCTTCAGCAACTAACTTTCTTTGTGAGGACACTTATCAAAGAAGGTTGTTTTTTTGTTGTGTTTTGTTACGGTTTTTGTTTTTTGAGAGAGACAGCACTCTCGGGGAAGGGGCAGAAAGAGAGGAAGAGAGAGAGAATCCCAAGCAGGCCCCATGCTGTCAGCACAGAGCCTGATGGGGGGCTCAAACTCACAAACTGTGAGATCATGACCTGAGCCAAAACCAAGAGTCAGACACTTAAAAATCTCTGTTTAATCTCTAGTCCCTCCTTTCTATTTTTAGTGCCTTAGGTCAGATCCTTGTTAACTCTCGACTTGACTACAATAAGTAGCCTTTTAACTATTACCTCCTCCTATTCATTTCATTGCCTCCTTAGCACCACTGGACAAGACCCCTTCTCAAAATACAGCTCCCAGCATGCTTCTGCTCATGCGCTAGGCTCTGAGTTCCTTAGAGGGATTTCAAGGTCTCTTCATGACATGATCCCAAAGCACTTTTGCTGTCTGATATACTTTTACTTTTCCCCCAACAAAGGCATCTTACTCAACACACAGGAGGACTCTTCACTGCTCCTGAATCTGTCTCCTTCAAGTGCGCTGTGCTGTTTTTTCCAGGCTGGAATTCTTCTTCAGTTCTTGAGTTTGCAAACCCTCAGCAGCTTTGTTAAAGAACTTATTTTTGTCTCTCTAATGTTACAGTTAATAATTACATGTTTATCTCCCTCCCTGGATCACACATTGAGAACCCAGACTCATGCATTATGTAATTTTTCATCTGTACCCCCCATAAGCACCGAATGCCTAGCAAGACCTTTTATACATGTATTGATTGACTAAATAATTTCTTAAGTTGAACTGGGAATTACAAAACATTGTTTCTAATTAAGACTATTTGCAAAACTTGCTTACTGATTAACAAATATTTGTTAAGGCCCTGCTATATGCAAGCACTATATTGGTCTCAAGGTCGTAAGTGTCTGTTAGGAAGAAATCTTAGTCCCATAACAGAACTATGAGATAATTTATTATGTGGGGTTTTGAGTTCTCACAAATATATCTGAAAGGAGAGATGACCCTCAACAAACTTCCACAGTTCCCACAGAGTAGGGTCCCTCTCCAATGACCTGTGAATAGCCTGAAAATGGGTATATGAACATGCAAGGAGGAAACTGCGTATATGCTGTTTGCTGGGTTTCTCTTTATCATTCCTCTCTTCTCTTCTTTGTTCCCTGAGCAGTGAGGAAAACTTTGTAAAATCCATACAAAATTTAAAGGACAGGGCTGCAATCACAGGTCTTTAATTTCTTAATGTGAAGGTGGGTAAATTGAGCCAGAAGAGAATAAATCACAGTTTCCACTAGTCTTCATGGATCATGCCTCCTGCTTTTAGCAACGGTTCTTTCCCATTATTTTATTAAAGCCTCACTTGCTTGGAAAGAGGAGTCTGACCTTTAGCTTTCTATTCTGGGCTCATTTGAAGATGTTTCATGTATCCATAATATCACTGGTTGCCAGAAAACTAGTTCTCTTGACCCTTGGTGGCTGGACATCTCTGTCTCTCATGGAAACAGTACACAAGTAGCTGTACTCTTCTTTCTCTCAAAGTGGTAGGTGGGTGGTTGGTATTGCCGAATGCCTATACTGTACTTTGAGTACAGAGTGAAAATGAAGAACATTTATTTCCACCTGCTGTTTCTGTCTTTCCGTGTCCCTGAAACATACTTTTGAATAGGCTCTTGTCATGGTCACTTGCTTCTTTATCTCTTGTAGTATCGGGATGCCCTTTACAAGTTCATGGTGGATACTGCTGTGCTTTTGGGAGCTAATAGCTCTCGAGCAGAGCATGACATGAAGTCAGTGCTTAGACTGGAAATTAAGATAGCCGAGGTAAGTCTTAATGTGAAATCTCTTTCTTATTTTCCCCCTTATTTTAAAAGAAGTATATCACGAGTGAAAATAAATATAAAAATAGCATTCTGTGGCATTGTCCTTTGGGTCCAAGGTATAACTAATAGCATCCCTTCTGGGAAGTAACAGGAAGAACCATGACAGAGAGAAGAGCTCTTCACTCCTTCTGTCTCCCTGCTTGAAGCCCAAAGTCCAGATGCTGCTCAGCTGTGGCCAAAGAATAGCACCAGGGAGATCCTCTATGTTTTCCTAAAAAAAACTCTGTGTGGTTCCTATAGAAGAATAGTTGGTTAATAAATCTGTATGGATTTGGCTTGAGGGAAGCTTATTTTTTTAAAGTTTTTTATTTATGTTTGAGAGAGAGAGAGAGAGAGAGAGAGAATGAATGAATGAATGAATGAATATGAATGGGGGACGGGCAAAGATAGAGGGAGACATAGAATCTGAGACAGGCTCCAGGCTCTCAGCTGTCAGCACAGAGCCCAACCCAGGACTCGAACCCACGAAGCACGAGATTATGACCTGAGCCGAAGTTGGACACTTAACTGACTTTTTAAATCCAGTCTATTCTTTATATCATTCCCACTCAGGATCAGTCTGACCTAAAATTGGGGCTTTGGGAAGTCTGTGTACCCAAACTAGATATTTGATACATAATTTGATGTAGAAAGTGTATAGGGCATGCTGCTAAGCATTTTTTAGCTGCTTTCCTGGTGCTACCTTGTACCTAATCCTGTTTTTTATTCTTCTCTTGCCACATGTAAATGCTATGTTCTGTGTAAGTTACTTTAAGTTCTTTCACGTTCAGGGTAGAGACCTAGGAACAAACTTGAGGGAGAACAATGAGAAATCCTCAGTGGTTAGCTTTGTTCAGAATATAACTTCTTTTCGGGGCACTTGGGTGGCTCAGTCTGTTGGGCATCAGACTTGGGCTCAGGTCATGATCTCGCGGTCCGTGAGTTCGAGCCCCATGTCGGGCTGTGTGCTGACAGCTCAGAGTCTAGAGCCTGCTTTGGATTCTGTGTCTCCCTCTGTCTCTGCCTCTTCCCTGCTCACACTCTGTCTCTCTCTGTCTCTCAAAAATAAAAATAAATGTTAAAAAAAAGAATTAAAAGAATATAACTTCTTTTGTAGAAGAAGCAAAGTATTAAATCCCTATGTGTTCTCAGGACCAGAGGGAGCAAATGTAAAATCTGCTTGTGGGGATACCTTGTAGTGGACAAAAAAATGATACTTTTATCAAGAAGATCTTGCATATGGAGTATAGTCTTTTATAATAGAAGTTGGTAAAAATATGGAGTTGCATGTGAGTCCAAGTGCTGCTTGGTTTGGTGTTAGGCAAAGCGGTGGTATGGTGTTCAGGTATGGAGTAGGGATAATTGATAAGGGTCAGGAGGATTTCTTTTCTCTCAGCTGAAGTGATGTACTTGTTACCTCTCTCCAAACTCCTACTTGCAGAACAAAAAGTTCATTCCTGCAGTTACCTTTGAAGAGTGTGTGAAGACGGCTGCAGATGTTGTGGAGTCAAAGACTGGGCCTCTAAGTCATGTCTAGAGGCCATCTGGATTCCCTTCCCAGGCAAATAGGAGACCCAAAGCTCTAATTTGGACTGAACCTCTGATATAGGGGGAGAAGGGCTTGCCCTGAGCCAGGGATTTGGACCAAAAAGGGAACTAAAAACAGCTGGGTTGAGGCAAGACTGGGAATTGTTGAGAGGCTAAATGAAGTGACAAGTCCACGGGGTGGGGGGAAGTAGTTGGCAGAGAGCTGAAAACAGCTCTGAGGCCAAAGGGCTTCAGTCTGGGGCTGTGAGCCCTAGTAGAGAGGGAGGAGAGACATTCTCTGAGGCAACGACGATTCAGACAGATCCAGGAAGGTGTTTGTAAGATTCATGAAGTCTCTCCTGTGGAGGGTGAGGAGGGAGAAGCTGAGGGCACTGAAGCATTTAGAAAAGAGGGGGCCGATGTCGATCACTCAGCCCTGTGTGATTTTGTCTTGAAAAATCTATGGTGCATGGATTTTTGGCCAGCCAGTAACTCTCACCTCCCATCTTGTACACGCCTAGGTCATTCAAAATTAGTGGGACACATAGTACTAGGGAAACTTCTGAATCTGGGGAGACAGGACAACCTAGCCAAGCACAAAAAGTCCGTATCAATCTAGCCATGCAAGTGTTCATTTAACCAGTACCAGCTAGAAAGAAGTGTGTACAAAAGGAGGTCTTGTTGATGGAGTGGCCCTTGTAATTAGAGTGAAGTAGAGTTTAATTGGGAACGTTTGACAGAGAAAATGAATGTTGGGCAAAGTTTTGAATCATAGTTCAAACTATGGGAGTGGTGATGGTGGATGGGGGTGCCAGGGCAGGAGAGTCCTGCATGAGACATGAGGTAGGAGGTAACAAGTTTAATGCAAGGGAGTCAGATGATGGAGGGCCTTATGGCAAAAGCATGACGTGGTTTAGGGCTATGGGGAGCTACTTCCTGTCCATGGAAGTGATTAAGGTGGCCCTTGAGGAAGATAATCATTGCTGCTCTTCTTAGATTCATCACAGCAGAGGCTAGAAGCTTAGATTTGGTACTGGCACAGTGGCCAAGGGCCTGAGTATTGGGAGTAGAAAGTGTGTGAAGAATCAAGGCCGGACATGTAGACTTAGAAATATGTATTTGAGTGGTAACTGAACTCATTCCCCGAGCAGTGGTGACAGGGGAATCTCAAGGCCAGAGAAAGCAGAGGAAAGAGGAGAGGGGAGATAATGAGCTGTGGACAAAATGATCACAGATGGCAGTGGTATCCTGATAGTCCAGTGCTCTTTAGTGAAAATAGGCTCCGAGGGATGAAGGGATGGTCTGTGGTTCATGAGCTATTCGGATCATTATCTGGATACCACGGGTGAAGCTGGATGTGTGTCTTAGTTGCCTAATCTCACTTTGGCTATCAAACCTGAGCGAGTAATAGATTTTTGTCCAACCACATTACAAGTGAGGAAAGGATTTGGGAAGTTGTTTTTATGGTGAGGACAGTGTTTCACACTGAACAGGACAGGAAAGTTTCTTTTTATTATTGTAATGCTAATTTTGCCTAAAGTGATGTGGGGGGGGGGGGGGGGGGGGGGGGGGGGGGGGGGGGGG